AGAAATGGGTCACTTACGTCTGCTAAGTGTTAGGGATGTTAATAAACATCTAACATAATTTCACTGTCAGTAAGCATTTGGACCTTTGCAAAAATGTTCTCTATTTTACACTAACAAATCACTTTTCCAATGAAACAGTAAGTGAACAATTGACAACGTTACACAAAACAGAAAAAAAAACCCACGTAACACAGTTTTTACACATTATTCAACATTTTCAGGTGTTTTTTTTTTTACTGTATTGATCCTGTCTTGTATAATGGTTCTAGTGTAAAGGCACAGGTTGGTTAGGAAAGAAAAGCCTGCATCTCTTTCACTCTCTACGTTGCAGTTATGATTTTCTTTTTACCTGTTTTTTTCTTTTTCCCTCACTTTTCTGGCTTTTTTATGAAAGTTTGCAATCTCAGCCATTCATTAAAAAAACTGTAAGACATTACTAAAAAGTACATTGCTATAAAGAAATGGCTGGAATTTATTCTTTTTCATTTAGAGATATTTCCTCAACCTATTTTGTTAAATGTTTGGGAGATTTAATTCCTTAATTATTGTGGATAAAAACACATAGCTTGCTCACTCTGTGTACGTACTTCTACTCTGAAATCTGTGTTTCTGAAGATTAGTAATGGAAGATAATAAGTTTATGCGTGGAATTTACTTTAGGAGTGCATGAAAATGTAACAACAAACAATTATTTGGAAAATAACATTCCATTGATGTTCAGAAGGTGGAGGAATGTAAACAAGACTGTAGAGCTCTTTGACATGTATTAAAATAAAACTATCTTTCCATCTTTTTGCATTTTCTTATATATCCTCAACAGTTCTCAATCATCCCTTTCATGTACACTTTTAATTACAAAAATCACCAATTAGTTGGGCTCAACTAAGTGAAAAATAATAAATTTCATCACTTGTTTTATGCCAAAACACAAAACTGAGAATTAATGCTCTGAATTAAATATAAACTATGTTATTTATTAATAAATAATAGAAAGTAAAAGATTATACAGTAAAATGAGAATAAGGTTAGAATTTACTTTTTATTTTGATTGTGAAAGGTAAGAGTGGAGTGAGATTAGAAGCCTATGGTTCTTTTGCATAAGGCAATCAAAAGTGCACTTATTTCAGTCCTTGATACTAATGAATTCACATGCTATTGTGGAAATTAGACTTCTCAAATTTCATACAAATACCCAGGAAATACGGCCATCGGATTCTTATTCATGGTAAGTAGCATTTCACTTCCTAATTTTACTTGGGATAATGGGCTATTCAAGGGGAGTGGAAATACCGGAATCCAGTCCATTTTCACTTGCATTATCACTATAAAGGAGCCTATGGGCATATAGGTATTTCAAACAAAGTATTTGCTTTTCCAGCCTTAGAAAACAAACAACAAAAGAGAAAACCTGCAGTTCCAATAGTTCAAATGATTTTGTAAAATTTCACATAAAATTATGTGAATTTTAGAGAAATAGATAAAAACAAATTCTTGCCACTTTTTTTCCTTTTGCGAAGCTGATCATCTTTGAGCCTTCGGAAACTGTCAGATCCCTCTCTGACAAAAAGTCTTCTAAAATGTATGCAAGTTGCCATGAAGATAACTTTGTATCTTGAATATCAGCTCAATGTTAGAAAAGTGTGCCTACAACTTACAGTACGCAGGTAATATAGATTAAGCCAAGCATAGAGAGTAAGAAACTTTTTGCTTTTTGTATACAATTCTTTTTAGATATCAAGCTTAATCTTAGGCCACAACTACTGGCAGGCTTTTTCTCACTAATCAAAATAATAACAAAAATATTACTGGTCTTAAGATTAGTGGGCTCATAAAAGTTTTGAGATTTAATAATATATAAAAAGCGAATCGAGGCTTTTAAAAGACTTAAGCTTTTGAGACACAAAAGAAACTTTGGGAGGTAGACAGATGTATTGAGGATAAACAGATTTTTTATTTTTTTAGTCTAAGGCATTAATGCCCGTGTATGTTTAGAGCAGTAGAAAGGCTGCTGATTAATGGTGGTTCAATTCCAGTTTGCTACTCACGCTTACGGAAGACTAGCGAAGCACTTTTGGTCTTGGTGTCTGACTTTCTCTCCCCATCTCCTTTGTTTTCTTCAGCCACACAGCTAAATGGAAGTGCTATAATAATTTCTGCCCTTTGCCTGTAGACAGGGATGTTCTGTTCTTAATAATAAAATACTATAGAATAGTAGGTATTGGAGTTGGAGAGATGTGCTCTTTTGGTGCATATTTTGCAAAGAATGGTAAAAAGACAGACAACATGACCCCAACAATTGCCAGCATGTAGCCCCAGCCGATCTGGCAGTCTCCTGCATAGTAAATATCTGAATTCTCGCAGAATCTCTTCACAGTAGCAGAGTTGAAACCAAACGGATAAACCAAAAGGCCGGAAGCCATTATGAACACTAGAGAGGAGGAAAAGAAATAAATTATTATTGAGCACCTAATTCTTTGAAAAAATATATTTATTTTAGATGAAAATGTTGATTTTTTAATATTAAAATTAATGGAGAAAGTCAAAGCTTAGGAAGCCCTTATGATTTGTCTCTGAATATCTTCCCTTTCATAATCACCTCGTATGGGCTGCAGTGTCCCACTGTGGTATCAAGCAGTCCCTTTGCCCCCCTCCCCGCTCGCCCCAAATAGCATTTGGGTCAAATCTGGGCTGTCTCGCTAGTAAGTCAAGAGTAGCAGTAATTAGAATTACCTATAATGTTCGAACTGGTAGATAATTCATAACCAGCAAATATTTAATTAAATATTAAGATGATAAAACAGCCACTACATGCTATTCTCTGCATTTGCAATTTGCCTCCCTGAATTGCTTTTCAGGTAGAGGGCATGTGCACATTGCTTCTATTATAATAATGGAGAGACTTAATCTAAAAAGTATCCACTAAAATGGTAACTACTCATTAATCTTTTTTTCATTAAAAAAAAAATAATGAGTTTGTAGGCTGCTGGAAGTGGAAGTTTAAGGCACTCGGCCTGTGAAATTCGTGCAGTTTGCAGTTCCCTGGAGCATGTGCAGAGGGCACCAACGCACAGCGCTCCTAAACCCCCGGCACCGACAGCCCAAATGGCTCTTCCCATTCCCACTTCTTTCTCCGAGGCCATTGGTGTTTTCAAGGTAAAAAACAGAAATAATTGGACAATTGTCTGTCACAAGACAGAAGGATGAAACTTTAGTTTCGCTCATGGTTCTGGATCGTGCCAGAAAGCAACCATGAGTGTAAACAAGGTAAGAAAATAATTTGCATCAGTGTTAATCTCCTGTGTATTCACGTTGTCTTTTTTCCCACATTTGCTAATTTAGACAGCAGTATGGAAATAAGCTTTCATTATTTGCATTATTTTCATTATTTGCTTATTTATCAGTCTGTTACGTTCCTGACACTTGCGACTGATGGATTAATTGGGAACTGTGGGACATGTCAGCGAGTCGGAAGAATCAGGGCTGAATCATGGGCCAGCAGGAGCAACGTGCCAGCCCTGTTACACGTTACCACCGTTTTATCTCCTTCTGCAGCATTTCTATTGACAGAGCTTCCCCCACCAAAGCAGGCAGCTCTGCTTCCTCACTCCTCTCACCAGGACGCTTCCGCTCACACAAAACCCATCCGAGCTGGTGGTTCTTATTTTTAATTCCCTGCATTTGGGCATTTTGGACACAGGTGGTACCAGCTCCCCTAAAGGCAATGCTAAGATCAAAGCGCACTTGTCCTCCCCCGTGGTTTTCGCATGCGAGTCCATCCTCCAGGGCTGCTTCAGCAACGCCCAAATTACTGGGGGTA